TGGTGGGATTTCATTTTAATCATGGATTTTGGGGGGGGGGGGGGTTTAAATCAGAGACTCTGCTATTTTTAAACAGAGAAAACCAGGATCCGTGATGACTTAGGCATAATATGCTTCTACAGACCCTAGATAACTCAAAAAGTATATAAAACTATTCCTGAGTTATCCATCGCACTCATGTGGATAAATGTCACATATATAAAGTGTTGAATGCAAATATATTCAGTATATTGCAGCGTGTATTCATCAAATTCATTTTATAATCTTACAATCTCTTAGTTTTACTGGTATTTCCAGAGAGGTCCTATTGAAAGCTGATTATTTGCATTCATGAAGGATTCTGATTTATTTATGTTTGAGGAAACTGTGTTCCTTTATAGATCTTCACACATCCTTCATTGTATGCAGCCCACTGTATTCTCCTCCTTGCCAAACAACTCTCAGCTTTCAATCTGCAATCCCTTGATCAAAGTCTTAACATAGCACTTAAGTGTTGCACCATAATTAATGTGCTTTGGTTTAAAGTCAGAGCAATAGCCCTACCTCAATTTCTTGACAGGGGTTGGGGCCAGATTTGGCTGAACCAGCAGCAGGGGATGTCATATTTAGAACACCAACAGGCGTGCAAGAAGAGAGTCATTGCCTTTGTTTCTTCAAAAGCAGATCTTTAAATAGGTACTGGTGTTTCGTTTCAACCTCTGAATGTTGAATAATGTGTTCATAAGGTGCATTTGATGGGACCTCCACAAGAGGAAGAGGAATAGCTTATTGAGACACCATTTACATCTGTTTTTCTTCCCACATAACCTTCCCATGGTTTTTCCTGCTGTCTTCCTGCACCTACTGCTATTTCTTCTACTTTTGAGTTGTCCAATGTCTTTTTATTGGATTAGGTTGGACCTCTCTCACATTTCATTTAGGAAGCTACTTACATGGGTTTTCCTCGTTTCTCAGAAGCCTTGTGAAGTTTGTCTATGGAATGGGAGTGGTTATTGTGATCCTTAGTTTTTACTGGAGATCCTTAGTTATTACTGGTTTGTCTTTCCTGCCTAGTGCAGGGGGGCTGGACCCGATGATCTTGCGAGGCCCTTTCCAGCCCTTACGATCTATGAATCTCTACTCAGCACTGGTTAAGCCTCATCTAGAGTACTGTGTGCAGTTTGGGGCTCCACATTTGAAAAAGAAAGGGGAGAAGTTAAAAAGAACCCAGATGTGGGTGACAGAAACGATAAAGGGCTTGGGAGGGAAGTTATATGAGGAGAGATTGAAGGAGTTAGGTATATTTAGCTTGCAGAAAAGGTGCTTAATAAGAAATATGATAGCCGTCTTCAAATATTTGAAGGGCTGCCATAAAGAAGATGGAAAACACCTTTTCTCTGCTGCTGCAGTGAATGGGACACAGACCAATGTATTGAAGTTGCAGCAAAATAGGTTTAGAACAGTGAGGCAGTGGAACAGACACCGAGAGAAGTTGTGGACTCTCCAGCACTGGAGATGTTCAAGAGGTTGGACAGCCAATGGTCAGGGGTGATCTAGGCATAGCTATGCCTATGTTCCTCTATAGGTACTTTGCATGATTCTATGTTTTTTTGGTTACCACTTGGGGCTGTGATGCTAAAATGCATAACAACATGCACAGAATCCCATGGCACTGATTAACTGACACTGGATCCTTAAAATGAGAGCTACCCTCCTAAAAGAGTGATGCAGAACTTGAAGTGTCCCCACACTTCCCTCCTGCTACAAGTGTCAGGGTTTTTTAAGCCTCTCTCAGAGGCACTGGGTGTTGACTGAAGCCAAGGCTGAGGGATTTTGACTGAGATGTGCCACTGTTCCTACTGGGACTTAAACCTGGAGGTTCCTGGCCAGAGGGTTCTGTTCCTCCACTCAGGGTCAAACCAACTGCCATATTTGGATTCAGGAAAAATTTTACCCCATGGTCAGATTGGTGTGGATAGTGAGGGTTTTTGCCGTCCTCTTTCTGGGATCTCCTGAATGTATATTAACAAATTTACAGCAGGACATTGGCTGCCATGGTCCCCCTGCTTTACTTGTGACAGGTTAGAGTGTTATGTCTTGTGCTGTGTCAAGGTTGGCTGTATAGTTTTGCTATGAAATTAGACAATGGATGTGTATAGGATGGTCTGGATAGGGATAATCCTGTCTCAGGCAGGGGGTTGGACTAGCTAACCTATGGAGGTCCCTTCCAGCCCTACTTCGCTATGATTCTATGATTTTCTATACAAGAAATTTCCCCCAACATTTAACATTAAATTCCAAGTCTGATAAGTAGCAAAAGAAGAACCAAGGATGCAACCCTCTAATCTGCATCATGATACACTTGACAATCTTCTTGGGGTATTCAGTCCTTCAGACATGCCTCCCAGCCATTACAACAAAGGGCCCTCAAGGTTCTACTGCCCTACCCTCCTTTCCTAAGCCTCCAGCCAAGCAAAATTAAACAGATTGTATATGATTATTTGAAATGCATCCTTAACCATTCAGCTTACCTTTCTTGCTTCCTCCAGAATCTGTCTTAGATCCTGCAGTTCTCTCTCATGCTGTTCTTTAAGTTTATCAATTTCCAGGTCATGGCTAGACACTTCTTCCTTTAGTGCTCCCTTTAAAGCAGTCAACTCCCGCTCCCTCTTCCTCAGTATTTCTTCCTGTTGTTCTTTTGCCATCAGCGTTTCTTGCAGATCCTGCTTCATTTGCATCAACTCCTAAACATGATTGAAATGAAACAAAATTAAAATGCCTTTATTATAGCTAGCTAAAATTAGTGAGAACTAAGGAACCTTTAAGCATATTCTGTTCAACTATGGCATTTTGGTAGATAGTATAAAAATGCAACCAGCCTCCTCATTCAGCAGAATCATCTCATAGGCTCTGTTGTTGCTCTTTTACATCTTGGTGTTGATCCCTCCAGGGCCCAGAGATTCCCCTCCACTTCTTGCTGACAGCTGGGTCCAAATTCCCAACCTCTTTCCTACTTCTAAGGGCGGTTTTTGTACTTTTACAAAATGTTGTTACTATCACCTCCAAAAGTCATCATTTTCATTCATCAGTCACTCTACTTGTCAATTTAAGGTGTGACATTTAAATCAATGTGCTTTGTTGTTTGTCCTCCTGCTATTAGATTTTCTTTTCAATCTTGTTTTAAAACAGAATGGTTGAATATTTAAAGTTTTACTTAATTTCTGGATATTCTATGGAGTGGCTATAGCATTGGACAAATCATTTTCATATCCTCTTCATTCCATTTTGTATGCTTGTCTTAGTTCTCTGTTCTCTAAAATACTTATCTGCTTCATAGGAATGTTGTAAGGCTTAATTAACATTTGTAAATGTGCCGTCATTAATTCACTACAGGACTAAGTTTGGGACCCAAACTATAGGTTTCTCTGAGTTCTTTTCTATCAATATGAAACTAGCTTGCTGTTACCCAAGTCAGGAAATAAAGCCACGAGGCCGGTGACTAGTCTGAAAGATCACTTTGTTGTCTATTACAAAACAGCTTGAGTATTTCTCATTTAAATCAAAATAATACTATCCTTAATTCCCAAAAGTTTTAATCAAGCCATTCATTGCTCAATCTTTTCGAGCAGATTTGCTGTGAGGATTCTTAAAACTGCAACAAAAATCTTTACAAGAAAGGCACTCTGTTTCTTGGTCTGTTGCATTTTAAATGGTGCGTTTTAATATCCCAAAAGGAGCCCTGACCACAAGCTGAAAGAACCATACTTTCACAAACCTAGAACAGTGTACGCCTTAAGAATCATAGAAATGTAAGACAGAAAGGCACCTCAAGAGGTCATCTGGTCTGAGGCAGGATTCATTACATTTAAACTATCCCTGAAGATGTTTTTCTAGCTTGCTCTAAAAATCTCCAACACAGAATTCCACCTCCCTCCCTAGGAAACCTTTTCCAGTGCTTAAGAATATTCATAGGCTCAATCACCGTGCATTTATCATGTGATTAAGGTGTTAATCATGTGATAAACCATAACATGTCTTATGTTCAACCAGTTTATCATATCATAAAATGCCAAACCAACCACAAAGATGTTTCACATTTATGGCTTTTGGCAGACAGTAATTTAAACATGTGATAGAACTATGCATCATGCAGCACAACCTAGCTTTAAATGCCCCAGCAGTGGGGAGGTCCATGGGGTGCAAAGCAGGGCTTGAAACTTGGCAGCATGCAAGGAGCACTTCTGCTGCCCCCACACTAGGGCACTTAAAGCTGGGTCATGCAACCCGATGCATGATCCCTTTGCACTTTTAAATTAACATCTCCCAGGGGCCATAGTTATACACTTTCAGTTAAAATGTTTTTTCCAAATACCTATCCTAAATCTTCCTTGGCGCAAATTAAGCTGATTACTTCTTGTGCTAATCTCCACAGACACAAGTGATCACTGTGCTCCTTATTATAGCCATTTATGTAATGGAAAACTATTTCATCACAACTCAGACTTTTCTTTTCTAGTCTAATCATTCAAAATCTTTCAAATTTCTCTGCACCTTTCTACTTAAGTGTAGCATTCTGCATTTCTCTTGACAAAGTTTATTTTTATTCATTCAGGACCATTTCTGCAATTTTTCAATATCATTTTAAAAATCTGATCAACTGATCCTGTCCTTTAAAATGTCTGCAATCCCTTCCAGGTGGTGCCCTCTGTTTGACAGCAAACTATTGGTAACATCTTCTTGAGTATGTTTTTCAAGGAGTGCACTCACCTCATAGTGATATCATTTATACCATATTTTCCTAGTTTGTTTACAAGAACTTTGTGTGCAACAGTATCAAAAGCTTACTGAAGTCAGGGACATACCACATCTGGTACTTTCCCTTTATCCATTAGGCTACATCCTCCTTACCTACTTGGTTTTCGTAAGAACAAACTTGACTGGCTGGTTTTAAACTCATAATTTGTTTTAGTATCTTTTCAGGTGTTCAAGTTAAGTTGACTGGTCTATCACTTGTCTTTTCACACTATTTTTTTAAGATAGGTACTATCATCTGCCCTCCATGAGTTCACAAAGACAATCACTAACAGTTCATAAATGGTTTCAGCCAGTTCCTTAAAAGGACTCCAGGGGCAAATTCACAAGTTTTTGAAAATGTGACTATACCTAACACCAAATATCTTTTAATCTATTTTCTCTAATCCTCCCTATACTCTTGTTCCTTTGTTAAAATTAATGTCATTATCTTGTCACAATTAACTTTTATTTGTAAAGACAGAAGCAAAAGAAGACTGAATATTTCAGCCTTTGGTGTCATCCATATATGCTCTTGTTCCCCATTAAGAAATTGACCTGTACTTTTCTATAACCTTCTCTTATTGCATATATACTTATATAACCTTTTATTTTATTACGTCTCTTGTTAGTTGTGTGTCATTTTACATCTTAGCCTTTCTAAATTTTATCCCTACATTGTTGTGCTGCTCTTTGTACTCCCCTTTAATCATATGCCCTTGCTTCCACTCTCTGTAGGTATTAATAATCTGACTGTCAAAAAAATAAGTCCTAAGACAACCATATGGAATCTTACTATACTTTTCATTCTTCCTCCACATTGGGATAATTTGTTGTCATACCTTTAGCATTCCCTCTTTTCATAATTGCTGATCTCCTGAACTCCTTTTTCCTTCAGAATTTCTTTCCAAGAGAGTTTACCTATGTTATCCCAGAGTTCTACACATCAAATGGAAAAACTAATATCAACTACCAGGCAATTTTTAACATTAAATACCTGCATGTTTCTACAACCCCCATTTAATTAAATGTGTGCAAGGGTCTTCACAACTTGTTCATATAAACTATTCTTGAAATACTTTTATCACAAACCTCAATCAGAACCTCTTTCTCCTCATCATCAGCATGTTTTGCATTATCCAGTTCATCATGCATTTCAGAGAGCTGGTCTTGGAGGTCCCTGATTTCAGTCTGGTGTTGTTCCCGTTCCATCTTCACTTGAAAGAGTCTCATTGGGGAAAAAGTTACATTTTAAATTTATAACAGTGTAAAATTATTTTCCAAATATCATAAAGCTCAGAGAATTTACAACTGCTCTCCCAGAATAAATATGACAAAATGAGGAAATAACAGCAGAAGCTGTAAAGGAGATACACTGGTTTTCATAGATTTCATAGACATTTGGGCTGGAAGGGACCTTGGAAGATCATCGAGTCCAGCCCCCCACCCGAAGGGCAGGAAGTCAGCTGGGGTCATAGGATCCCAGCAAGATAAGCATCCAATTTGCTCTTGAAGGTGTTCAATGTAGGTGCTTGAACCACCTCCGATGGCAGGCTGTTTCAGACCTTGGGGGCTCGGACAGTAAAGAAATTCTTCCTTATGTCCAGCCTGAAACAGTCTTGCAGTAGTTTATAACCGTTCAACCTCGTCATCCCTTGGGGCGCTCTGGTGAACAAACGTTCCCCTAGATACTGGTGGTCACCCCTGATAAACTTATAGGTGGCCATCATATCACCCCAAGCCTGCGCTTTTCCAGGCTAAAGAGCCCCATGGCTCTCAGCCTGTCATTGTAAGGTCTGTTTTCTTGACCTCTGATCATGCGTGTGGCTCTTCTCTGGACTCTCTCAAGCTTCTCCACATCCTTTTTGAATTGTGGGGACCAAAACTGGATGCAGTACTCCAGCTGCGGCCTCATAAAGGCCGAGTACAACAGGAGAATGACGTCCCGGGATTTGCTTAAGCAGCAGCTATGGATGCAATCCAATGTTTTGGTTGCTTTACTAGCCGCAGCATCGCACTGGAGGCTCATGTTCATCTTGTGGTCAATGATGACATCCAAGTCTCTTTCTTCTGTAGTGCT